GGGGGGCGGCCCCCCGCCACTGCCCCCTCTGCCCCCAGGGCCTGGGGTGCTGCCAGACCCCGCACCCCCAGCCGTACCCACCGGCCCCGGCCCTGCGGGATGCTTCGCCCCCCGGCACTGTGGGCTGGGGGTCACCTCCCATGGCAGGGACCCCCCTGGAGCTGCACGGGGCTCCGGACATGGGGACGGGGTCCTGGGGGTCACCCCCCTGTGGCCCTGCTGCGGGAACCCCCCCAGAGGTGCTTGGGGTTCCCGACATGGGGTCGGGGGCCTGGGGGTCGTCCCCCTACATCCCTGCGACGGGGACCCCCGAGGAGCTGTGCAGGACCCCTGGCTCTGTCTCAGGGTCCTGGTCATCACCGCCATGCAGCCTCGGAGCAGTGACCCCGCTGGAGCCCCCCCGGAGATGTGCGATGGCCACAGGCACTGGGATGGCTTCCTCCTGCTGCTTGGAGCCTGCAGCCCCCCGCCAGCCTCCCGGGGCAGGACTGACGGACAAAGGGCCCCCTGGGACCCCCGCGCGCGGCTCCCAGCTGCCTGCGCACTGCCAGGTATGCACAGCCCCCTCCCCAGCCCAGCCCCTGCTCCTGCACCCACCGCCCTCACGGGCCACGGGGTGGGGGAGAGCCCGAGGTCGGGCGGGAAGGGGACAGGGGGTCCTCGTGGGGTGCGAGCAGGGCTGCACCAGCAAAGCCACCTGCATGCCGTGGCCAGGGGGTCCACACGAGCTGGGGGGCACAGCGTGATGCGTGCTGAGCCGGAGAGCCAGCCCGGGTGCGGGGTGGGGGGCACAGTACCGCCCCACGGCCGCTCACCTGACACAGCTCTTTCTGCACAGCTCTGCAGCCCACCGGCCCCGGACGGGCTTGTCTCCCTGGCCCCCCGTGCAGCCCCCGTCCTGCCCAGCTGCACCCCAGCATGGCACTGGGGGTGGTGGAGCTGATCCTGTACCCCCGGCCGGAGAGGCAGCGCAGGGGATGGCAGCGTGGCCATGCCACAGAGCCGTGTGGGATGGACACCGTGACTGGTTCCTCATTAAAGCTGCCTGCATCGCTGCACCCCGACTCGTTACTGCGGGACCCCGCTTGCTGTGTCCCGGGCCTGGGGCACCCCCGAGGCTGGCACCCACACACAGCCAGGTGCTGCCTCTGGGCTGGGGGCTCGGTGCCCCCTCCCAGCCCACCCCGCAGCTCGGAGACGTCTCCAGAGCTGGGATGATGGAGGGACACACCACCCGGGGCACCCCAGCCCTGCTGACCGCTGGAAGGGCAGCTCCCACCCGCCCGTCGCGTCCTGACCCATCCCTGTGCTCAAACCATCTAGCTCTGTCTGGAGCTACCATACTGGGTAGCCCACGGTAGCCGTTCCCGAGGGGCCGGCTGCCAGCACGCCCTCCCGCCAGGGCAGCCCAGGGAAGCCGCGGCTGCCTCCTGCCCAGACCCCGCAGCGCCTGCCCTGGAGGGGGACCGTGCGGAGGCCCCCCAGCCCCAGAGGCAGCGGGCACAGCAGCCCCCTGGGCTGGGGCCCAGCAGGAGAGCTCACACACAGCCGTCAGACGGAGGGGCCGGGGGGCTGGCGTCGGCAAAGCCCCCAGAGCCACTTAGCACCAGGCTCCTAACGGCCCGGGGGGCTCTGCGTCCCCCGGCCCTGTCCCCTGCCCGCCAGCGGGTCCGCGTTTGCATCCAGGGCCACCGGCGAAAGCTGACGTGCAAGCCTTTATTTACACCCCCCAGGTCTTGCACGAGCCTGGGGAGCCCCGCGCCGCCCCGGGCAGCCGAGGGCAGCAGGGCCCCCCCGCCACCCCAAAGCCCCCCGTCCCCCCTGTGCTGCCCATCATACAGGCACCAGGCCCTGCCTGCAGGCAGCGGACCCTGCCCCTCACGAGCAGCGGTGAAGAACCCAGCCGGGCTGCCCAGCGAGACATGGGGGGCACCGGGAGGGAGCGTTTGGGGCCGGGGGCCGGAGAGGATGGAGTGAGCGGAGCTGGGGAGTGGGTGAGGGGCCCGCCCAGCCGCGGGGCGGTGGGCTCTGGGAGCTTCGGGCTTGGCCACCCCAGCCCATCCCGCACCAGCTGGCCCCACGGCCGGGCCAGGAGGAGGGTGAGCGGCAGCCAGGGCCGCGCGGTTAGCTGGCGGCGGTCTCGCCCTGGAACCAGGCTAGCACCGTCTTCTTGTTCTCCTTCACCCATTCGATGTTGGCACGGGTCCGCTCCAGTGCCTGCTCCAGCGCCCGCGTCCCCGACCCGAAGCCGATGTCCTGGTTGTCTGCCTTGAACTGCATCAGCTGCAGGGGAGAAGAGGGGCTGGAACAGGCGCGGAGCACCCCGACAGCCCCCAGCAGCACCCCAGCATCCCGGGACAGGGACAGCAGCTGCCCAGAGCCCTGGGCACATGAGGGACAGGGGCAGGAGCCCCATCTCCCCAGGGCTGCTGGCAAAGGGCAGGTTGCAAGGCGCCAGCAGTGCAGAGCCATGCCCCTGCTCCTGCCGGGGCTGGGGTCCCTGGTGCCCGGTCCCATGGACCCTGCCAGGGTCCAGCCTCACCTGCTCAAGTTCAAATTCCGTGGAAAACCTCTGGGTCACTGATAAAATCAGCCGGGAGAAGGAGAAGGAGCCGCCCCCATACCTGGGAGAGCAGAGGGACAGCTGAGCTGGGGGTCCCGGGCAGAGCAGCACCAGGAGCCGGGGCTGCCCTGACCCCACACAGCTGAGGGAAGGGACGGTACCACCCCCCCGAGGGGCACAGGTGGACGGGGGATGCTGCCTGCCCCAGCCGGCCCCCCACAGCCCCCCACAGCCCCCTGTGCGGTGCTCACTGGCCGAAGATTGTCCTCCAGTTGCCGCGGATGAAGTCCCAGGCCAGGGGCTGCCCCACCACGTTGCTGGCGATGCTGTTGATGGTGGCGGTGGCGTCCTGCTTTCGGATCTTGTTGGGGTCCAGGGTGTACTGCAGGTACCTGCGGGGGGACGCTGCTGGGTCAGGGGCCGGCAGGGGCAGTGCCGCGGCGCCCGCCAGGGACCCCGCACCCACCGGTTAAGGATCCAAGGGTGGGGGCTGCAGGAGAGGGCCGTGCGGAGCTTGTCAGCCTCGGACACG